GCCTGACTTTTCCAAGCAGAAATCTGGGTATTGCACCCTGGCCCATGGAATGTGTCCTGTGGATGCCACCAAGCCAGAGCTCCACTCGTCCTCGTGTCCTGTAGTCCCTCAGGGACCTTGAGATGTAGTCAGGTGGATGAGAACCTGGCATCCATTTTAAAGATGGGGAAGCTGGAGGCCCAGAGCATCAAAGCTCTTCCCAAGACTGAACCCCAGCCCTTCTTCCCAGGTGCCCTGGGACACAGTGAAGAGGTCCGCCCTGCTCTCAGGAAAGCACAGCTTAATGACGTCAGGAGCGGAAGTCTGTGGCCTCTGTGGCCCCCAGTCTGTCTCCCAGAGAATCCCTTCCCTGCCCCCAGTGACAGGATGTGCAAGCAAAGAGGCCCTTCTTGGGGCCACATGCTGCCCCCCAAATCCCCAGTGTCTGGGATGAAGCCTTTGGGATCTGTCTTCCTCAGTGGTCTCCCAGAACCCAGGCAGACTCCCTTCTCCCCAGCTCTTTTCTGCTCTCCCCATCAGCTCCTCCCAGCTCTCCCTGCACCCTCCGAAGCTAAAGGGTGAGTCTTCTCGTGCTGGTCAGGAGGCTGGCCCCGCCAGGTGGTGCTCACCAGGTGGCCCAGTGAGAAAATGATAAGAGAAGAGCCAATGACTGTGGTGCTTCTGCCCTCTTCCCACCCTGCCCTGTGTTGGTCAGCTTTCTGTTGCTGGAACAAAATACCTAAGCAACTTTAAGGAGAAAAGGTTTATCTTGGCTCAGGTTTTCAGAGGGTTCAGTCCACAGTCAGCCGGCTCCAACGCAGAAACATCATGGCGGAAGAGTGTGGCGGAAGAAACCCACTCAACTCATGGCATCCAGGGACACGGGGGATGGACCCAAGAGGAAGGGGCAGGGACTTAGTACTGTCCCCAAGCTCAGACCCCACAACCCACTCAGACACATTCAAAAATGTGTTTTACTCATCTCCTCGGCATTTCTCAACTCCAGAAACAGCCCTGCACTCTCCTAGGTAGAGCGGGTGGGAGACAGGGCTGCACCCCACTTGGGAACAGCCAAGGGAGGCCCAGCTCCAGGAGCTGAGGGAGACGGGCACCTCTCTAGAGAGGGGCATCTGGCTGCGTGTGGTGGGACTCTCCACTTTCTGGCACAGCTGCTTCTCTCCTCCACCCACTGACAGCCACCAGCCTTTCCTGAGCACTTCCTGGCAGACCATTCCCAGAGAGACACAGGCCAGGTCGGTAGGGAGGGAAGTCCCTGATGTGAGGTCCCTTTCACTGTGCACACATGCGCATGCACGCACACACACGAGCACACAAGCAGGGCACATCTCTCCTGTGGGTGGGGGAGGCCTGGCCCCAGTGGGCACCGAATCAGCCTGCTGGAACCACCTGCCACGCAGCAGCGAGTGTTCGTCCCCTCCAAATGCGCGCTGAAACGCAGTTCCAGTGCAACTGTCCGAGAGATAGGCACTCACAGGAGGCATTGGCTGGTGGATTAGCGCCTCTCAAACAGGGCTCCCTGCATGGGCTCTTCCTCTTCGCCCTTCTGAGGTGCCAGGACACACTAACAAGGCCTGAGCCAGGTGCCCGCACGTTGACCTTGAGGGCCTTGCGGAAGGGATAAATCACCTGACCCGTGGGGTTCTGTGGACGGCACCAGACAGACCACGCTGCTGCCATGACAGTGCTGCAGACTGGGGGCTGACACGGCAGGAGCTGTCAAGGCTCTGGAAGCTGAGACCCAAGGTCCAGTGACTCTGGGGCTGGCTTCTGGGCAGCTGCTGTTCCCAGCTTGCAGATGGCCACCCTCTTGCTGCGTCCCCTTGTGATTCCTGTCTGTGCTGAGTGCCCTTGTCTCCTAAGGACACACGTCCTCTTGGATAAGGATCCCGCTGACTCGCTCACTCCTGTGACCTCACGTAACCATGGTGACCTCCTTAAACCTGCTCCAAGTGCAGCCACACCGGGCTCAGTGCTGCAACTCTGGATTTGGGGGATGTGACTCAGCCCAGCACAGGGACGAGGGGGCTGTACCTGGCTCTGCTGCATCCGGGCTCAGAAGGTCTGCAGGGTGAAGCCCAGCCCTCTCCTCCACTTCTCAATCGCTCTCCTCCCGGTGGTCTGCCGCCTCGGGTAAATTGCTCATCGGAAGACGCTCTCCAGTGCATGGCCACATGCTGCTACCATTGATTTCATTTTGATTATTCATATTAGCAGAGGCGCCGCTGCCTTGCCATGGGTCTGTAATTAGGGTAAACATCTGCAGTGCCCCAGTCAGCACCGAGTGGGCGACAGCCACCCCTAAACCCAGCTCTGCCCACAGGACTTCAACAGCCACCTGGCTGAGGCTGTCAGGACATCCCCCGGGCTGGGGACCATGAGAGGGAGTACTCCAGGGCCAGCATCCGGCCTCCTGCTGGCCTTCCCAGATGCCTCTGTCCCACAGAGACCCATGCTGGGGCCGGTCTATCCCACTCTGAGCTCCCTGTCCTCCCTCTCCCATACATCCCCTGCCCAGCCTTCCGGGGGACACAGGGCCCTCTCCACCCACTGCCAGGCCAGGGACCACTGTCCAGGCCCCGTGTGCAGTTGGGTCCCTCTGTCTGGGATTTGTATGCCCCAGGCTGAACTCTCAGGCCCCTCCCAGGCCAGGTGGCTCCATCCCTGGAATAAGATACAATGAACAGGAGGGAACAGCGGCGACCTGGAGTGTCCAGGCTTATTTGCTGGGAATCTCATTTCCCACTCTGTGTGCCCTTGCCTGACACATCACGACTGTCCATGGAATCAAGGGTAACTTTGGGCGGGAGGGGTCCGGCCAGCCCACGTGCCTATTAATGCACTGCACTCTGCTCCCTGTAGAAAGCGCCTTTCCCGCTGATTCATTACACGCGAGGAAGCCAAGCATGACGGGTTAAACGCCACCCTGATTGCACTGGATATTCAGCATGCCCCGCCCCCCACCTCGGAGGAGGGGGCTCTTTACCCCCACTGGGGGAGGAGCAATCTGCAGGCTGGATGTGCGAGACTGGTGGTAATTTGCATTAAGCATCCAGAAATGCTCTACTTGCAATCTGTCACCCTTCGCTGGGTTTTCATTTTGTAACTTTCACAACATAAGGAAGAGAACAAGAGGCGGAGAGGATGCAGTCTTGGCCCTCAAGGAAGGCTGCAGGAGGAACCGGGCCGAGCTGCAGTTTTCAGAGCAGAGGGGCCTGGTGGGAGACGCGGGAAGCCACTGCCAGGTCAGGCCAGAGCTCAGCAAGCCGAGCAGGTGCAGGGTGCAGCCAGGAGGCCAGAAGCCAGTCCTCACAAAGCTCATCTTTCTGGAGAGCCAAGTTCAATCCAGTGGGCTTTGCCCAAGAACATCTGGCCCGGCTTTTCGGCAGGTGACAGCTGAAGGTCCCCATAGGTGGAAGCTCTTGGCCCTGCAAGCCCTGCTTTCGACTGAGCACAGAACTGTGTTCCTATCCTAGCAGCATGTGGGGAGTCCTGGGGGAAGTCTTAAAACTACCTAGAGCCCCCCAAGCTCGTGATTCAGAATCTCAGGGCTGGATACAGACAAGGGAGGACAGGCAGCCAGAGAGGACACTGCATGTGCCTTAGGATGAGGGGCCTTGCGTCCTGCCCATCTCTCCACCCTGAGCCTTCTGCCCAGGGAGGCCCTGAGCACGGAGCGATCACTGAGCCCGGCCCCTCTGGGATTCTGGGCAGAGGGTCGTGTGAGGAAGGGACTCCAAAGCCACACCGAGGCTTAGCCACCCCGGGCTGGCCCTTCCCTTCCACCCGGGCTGCTCAGCCAGGACCCAAGGCTTCTGGGCTGCCAGGGAGCTGGTTCCTCTGCGGAGCCCCTGCACCTGCTGGGCTTGCTGAGCCCTGGCCTGGCCTGGCAGTGGCTTCCCGCGTCTCCCACCAGGCCCCTCTGCTCTGAAAACTGCACCTCGGCCCGGTTCCTCCTGCAGCCTTCCATGAGGGGCAAGACTGCATCCTCTCTGCCGCTTCCTCTCTGCCTCATGTTGGGAGGGACAGCAAACACCTGCCCAGGTGGACAACATGCCCCAGAGGGAAAAGAATCATTCACAGGGCTCTTTGTACATGAGGTGTCCCCAGGCCAGAGGCCAAAGATGAGAGGCCACCCGCATTGCCAGGCTGGGCCACCCCAGGGTCTCTTCCTCCCCAAGCCTGCTCTGCTTCCCCGGAGTCCTGGGCGAGGCACTGCAGCCTGAGAAGGTAGACTGCACTTGTGCTGGCGAAGCCACTGTCTCTCCCTACTGTACCCTGCCCCTTCCTGATCCTGGGGTCCAGGCCAGGGTCATAGGGTCCACCACCTGCAGAGCCCGGGTGCTGGCACCACCAGGAAAGGCAGTGCAGACTTGGGTTCTGTCCCTCTTGGCCGGGTCTGCTGCAGCCCAGCCAGTTGTTCATAGACTCCCAAGCCTGTTCTGCCACCATCCTGGGCCCTCACCCAGTTCCAGGGGTTGCAGGGGTCCGGATCAAACTGAAACCCCAGGGCCACTATTCCTGAGGCTGGGCCCTCAGGACCCCGTCATCCTGGCCTCAGGGGCCATGGGTCCAGTCCCCTTCTCACAGCCCCTCCTGCATGTGCCTGGGGCACAGAAGTCTGTGGAGGGCAGGAAACTGTGGGGTTCCTCCTCCAAACACAGAGCTGGGGGCAGGACTTGGTCTGACTTCCCCCGATCCCACCTACCACGTCCTCTGGGCCTCACAAAAGCCTTGGGGTCTGGGGACCCCAGCTTTGGCCAAGCCTCTTACCCACTGGGGAGCCCTTGAAGAGCCCCCTTTTGCCCTCAAACAATGGGGAAACAAAAGCAAAACTTCAGGGCGTATCCTCCCCAGAAGGGAGGAGGCGGGGAAGAGCTCAGAGTTCCCCAGGGGAGCAGCCCCCACCTCTCTCTTCTTCTCCTCCCCCTGCTCGAGCTGCCTCCCCCACCCCACCCCCAGGCCTCCCCTCTGACTCCCCTGTCTGTCTGCCCTCTCCACAGTACACGGCATCAAGTGGACCTGCAGCAATGGCAACAGCAGCTCAGGCTTCTCTGTGGAGCAGCTGGTGCAGCAGATCCTCGACAGCCACCAGACCAAGCCCCAGCCGCGGACCCACAACTGCCTGTGCACGGGCAGCCTGGGTGAGCTGGGCCATCCTTCCGGGTGTCTACTGAGGAAAAGGCGATGCTGTGGCACCGCAGCCCTGCACCCCTGTCCTGGGAAGAGACAGCTCCCTCTAGGCATGGGGCGACAAAAGCAGACAGCAGTCGGGGCATGGAAAGGGGCTCCGTACCTCTGTCCACCACCATGGGCGCCTGCCAGGTCCCGCTTACCCCAGGCCTCAGTGGGAGGCCCACATGGCCGGGCCCTGGGGCTTTCCAGGGACATCTGCCCTCAAGTCAATGGGACCACTCAGGCTAAATCTCTTTCTTTCTTTAACCTCTGTCTCCTCCAAGAATGGAAGGCACCCCGCGCTCTCCATCCTAACGCGTCTGCTTTCCCAATAATGGTATTTGCTCTGGGAAATGTGGTTCTCCACTCCCTGGCTGCCTTAATTAGATATTCCATCAGGGGTCAGGTCACTTCCCAGCAAAGTCTGAGTGCATTCAGGAGTCTTAGTGGCAAAGCTATAACAGGATCGGATTGGGAAGCATTCACCCTTTTATCAAAAGTGAGGTCACCCTTATCGGATGCAACGAAAATAATGACAGAGTGGGTACAGAGGCCACAGGGGAGGCTCTGCAGTGACACATCCCAGAGCTCAGAAACGCGAGGCTCCCAGACTGTCTCCCTCTTGCCTCTGAACCAGAGGGCTGGGGCTCTCTCTGTCCTTGCTCAGGACCTAGAAGGATCTGCATCCTGCAAAGAGGAGAGCAGAGGCCAGGCTTAGCAGAACTGCAGAGGGATGGCGTCATCTGCCTTTCTGCAAGGTGGCAGGGTCTAGAATGTTCTTTGGGCATTGAGAACTGACCCAGAAGAATACATCCTCTCTGTATCCCCCCACCAACCCCTGGCTTCCAGTCCCAAGGGTGCGGGGGACCCTTATTGAGACATCAGGAAGACTGGGGTTCTCAAAAGCATTGTGTGGCCTTCACGGTATGGGAAGTTGGAACGGGCACAGGGACACAACCACCATCCCTGGGTGGAGCTGCTCTGGCCAGCAAGTGCCCTCCCAGACGGGAGACGGCCTCTTGATGGCAGAGGGGACTTTCCTGGAGGGTGACACCCACCCCCCATCCTCCCCAGGGCTGGATGCTACTACCATGATTTGGGAAGCTCAGAAAGGCTCCAGCCCGCCCCCCGCAGCCTTTGGGGGAGGGTCACAGAGGGAATGGGAGACCCCAAGGCTGGGGAAAAGCACTGAGGGGTAGGGGCCACATGGGGCACTCGGCCAAGGGCCCAGCTCTGACCCTGTCTCTGTTGTGCGTGCGCGTGTGTGCGTGCGTGTGCGTGCATGCGTGTGCGTGTGTGCCGTGCTCTGATCTCCCCAGGAGCGGGCAGCAGCATGCACCACAAGTGTAACAGTGCCAAACACCGCATCATCTCGCCGAAGGTGGAGCCAAGGTCGGGGGGCTATGCGAGCCATGCGGAAGTGCAGCACAACGATGTGTCAGAGGGCAAACACGAGCCCAGCCACGGCAAGGGCGCCAGCCGCGAGAAGAGGAACGGCAAGGTGGCCAAGCCGGCGCTGCTGCACCAGAACAGCACCGAGGTGTCCTCCACCAACCAGGTGGAGGTGCCGGACACCACCCAGAGCTCCCCCGTGTCCATCAGCAGTGGGCTCAACAGCGACCCGGACATGGTGGACAGCCCCGTGGTCACGGGCGTGTCCAGCATGGCGGTGGCCTCCGTGATGGGGGGCGCCACAGTGTTCATGCCCGAGGTCTCCAACGAGGCCGTGTACACCATGTCCCCCACCGCGGGCCCCACCCACCCCCTCCTCTCGCCCGACGCCTCTCAGGGCCTGGTCCTGGCCGTGAGCTCCGACGGCCACAAATTCGCCTTCCCCACCACGGGCAGCTCGGAGAGCCTGTCTATGCTGCCCGCCAACGTGTCCGAAGAGCTGGTCCTCTCCACCACCCTCGACGGCGGCCGGAAGATACCGGAGACCACCATGAACTTTGACCCTGACTGTTTCCTCAACAACCCCAAGCAGGGCCAGACGTACGGGGGCGGGGGCCTGAAGGCCGAGATGGTCAGCCCCAACATCCGGCACTCGCCGCCGGCCAGCGAGAGGAGCTTCAGCTTCCCCAGCGTCCTCGCCAAGGAGATAAAGACAGAGGACACCTCTTTTGAGCAGCAGATGGCCAAGGAGGCGTATTCTTCCTCCGCAGTGGCCGCGGGCTCCAGCTCCCTCACCCTGACGGCCGGCTCCAGCCTCCTGCCGTCGGGCGGCGGCCTGAGTCCCAGCACCACGCTGGAGCAGATGGACTTCAGTGCCATCGACTCCAACAAAGACTATGCGTCCAGCTTCAGCCAGACGGGCCGCAGCCCCCACATCCACCAGACCCCCTCCCCGAGCTTCTTCCTGCAGGACGCCAGCAAGCCCCTCCCCCTCGAGCAGGCCGCCCACAGCAGCCTGGGCGATGCCGGGGGCACATTCGTGATGCCCACGGTGAAAACGGAGGCCTCGTCCCAGACCAGCTCCTGCAGCGGCCACGTGGAGACTCGGATAGAGTCCACTTCCTCCCTGCACCTCATGCAGTTCCAGGCCAACTTCCAGGCCATGACGGCGGAAGGGGAGGTCACCATGGAGACCTCTCAGGCGGCTGCAGGGGGCGAGGTTCTCCTTAAGTCTGGGGAGCTACAGGCCTGTGCCTCGGAACACTACCTGCAGCCTGAAAGTAACGGGGTGATCCGCAGCGCCGGTGGGGTCCCCATCCTGCCTGGCAACGTGGTGCAGGGACTCTACCCGGTGGCCCAGCCCAGCCTTGGCAACGCCCCCAACATGGAGCTCAGCCTGGACCACTTCGACATCTCCTTCAGCAACCAGTTCTCCGACCTGATCAACGACTTCATCTCAGTGGAGGGAGGCGGTGGCACCATCTACGGCCACCAGCTGGTGTCGGGGGACAGCGCGGCACTCTCGCAGTCGGAAGATGGGGCCCGCGCCCCCTTCCCCCCTGCGGAGATGTGCATCCCCTGCTGCAGCCCCCAGCAGGGAACCCTGCAGCTGAGCAGCGCCGAGGGGGGCCCGGGCACCATGGCCTACATGCACGTGGCAGAGGTGGTCTCGGCCGCCTCGGCCCAGGGCTCACTGGGGCTGCTGCAGCCCAGCGGACGGGTGTTCATGGTGACCGACTACTCCCCAGAGTGGTCCTACCCAGAGGTAAGCTGCCTGCGCCGCCATTACCACCCCCCCATGCCCTGGGCCCTGGGCTCTGGAACATACACACAAAGCCGTCCCCTCCCGCAGGCCCCACAAGGGTGCTTCCTTCTCAAACGCGCCAGAGTGGGTAGCGTCCAAGGTTGGGGGCGGCTGTGGAGGCAGCGTCCCTGCTGGCTCTGCCAGAAGTCTGCTGCTTCCTGGTTGAGTGTTAAAGTCTACCTGGGTTTGACCTTTCACCTCCCCTCTCCCCGCCCCTCCTTTTCCCCTCCCTCCCTTCCTCCCTCTTTTCCTTTCCTCCTCCTTTTCTTCCTTCTTTCCTTTTCTCTCTCTCTCCCTCTTTCTCTTTTTTTTGAGAAAAGGGCACTAGGGCTGCCTTAAAAACATTCAGAGATCCAAGACCCGCAGATAACCCAGTTCCCAACCTGTGTCACTCCATCCCTCTCCATCCCGGAAGGCCAGTGTGGTCCCTGTAGATCTGACTTTGAGATCTACTTTTGCTTGCAGGCCAGGGGAACGAGTGCATAAGGAGAAACCTTTGCCCTTTCTCCAAAGCAGACAGGACAGGAAGGGGACAGTGTGGCCTCAGCTTTCTCTGAATACCTGCTGCACACAGAGAGCACCCTCTTCCTCTCAGCCTGCCTGTCAGTGCGCCAGACGCATATAAACAAGGAGAGGAAGCCTGGCACGGTAGCCTGTAATCCCAGGGGTCTGGGAGGCTGAGGCAGGAGGATTCAGGCCCAGACTGGGCAACTTAGCAAATTCTGTCTCAAAATAAAGATTTAAAAAACTGGCTGGGGATGTAGCTCACAGCAAAGGCCCTGGGTTGGATCTCCAACACACACACACACACACACACACACACACATACGCATATTAAAAAAGAATGGAAGCCAGGGATTTAGCTCAGTGGTTCCATTGCTTGCTTCACAAGCACAAGGCCCCAAGTTTGATCCCCAGTAC